TGACAACAGCCAGTGCTCCACACAGAGATCTGATCTCATCATCATCCAGTCTGTCTGGGTGAATCAGAAAAAACTGACGCATACTAAATCCAGAAGGAGTATGGCAACATCTCCAAGATACTTCAAGAAACCTACAATGCCACAGTACTGTGAAACGTTTTAAGCACTTGTGTAAAAATGTTGTCAATTGAGGATCCATTCAAAAATAATGTCATAAATATATTGTATGTATCAATTAACTTCTATTAACTAAATTAAATGAACATTTGGTGTGACCACCGTTTGGGTACACTTGCGCATTTTTTTTCAGGTAGCTGTGAAGGTAGGTTTCTTGAAATTTGATATTTCCTAACACACTACAGTAGGTGAAAATACTAGTGGCCTAAGACTTTTGTACTGTAGATTGGGATGTGGTCACCTCATTCTCCTCTCTTTCTCTTTGGCACGTTCAGCTATACTCATTTGGTCTTTTGGAATCATATCTGCATTTTCCAGAAGCTCCCCCAATTTTTTCTCAATGGCTGTCAGCATCTGCAAAGTGGTCAGGTTTGCCTCTGTCTCCCCCACACAGCAGTGGTACACCTCCTCCACCTTACAGCTCAATGCGTCAAGAGCCTTATCATGGAGACAAGGACTTGTATTCTTAGGTCACTAGACATGTTTATCAAATGACAAGCTACTGTCCAATGATTTATCAAAGATTGTAACTGAGCAACTTGTTTCTAGAAGCAATGAGTAGCACTCATGTTTTATTAGAATTTAGAAGAAAAAAAGCATTTTAGACAAATATTTAATGTCTTTGCTACAAGACTCGAACAGCACAACTAAACATTGTATTGGTTTTATAGTTACTGCCGACACGTAGTTGGATGTAAGCCATGTTTTAGAAGTTTCTAGAACCTTCCAACATATTTATCAGAATGTTTTAAATATTTTAGATGACATCTTGAATTGACTTGCAAATGTCTATAAATGCTAGTGTTTGGCTATGTTTTTAAGTTCACACCTTTAAATCATATAAAATCAACAGTCTTGCTGCCAGAATGGAGAACATTCTTTAGGTAAAATCTTGACTCCAGGGCTGTACTTGTCTATGTAACAAGTTATTTGTGGCAGTTCGTGTCATTCTCCTACCTCAGGGTGCGATTGTTCCCTTGACCACACCTGTACATTGTTGGATCTGGCTCATCAAGTTCATTAACCTGACAGTGCCCTTACTACCTTTAATCGAACTGGATTAAATGAACAGTTCAAATCACTATTCTCCATTAACTGTCCACTTGGGATTTTATGGAGAAAGATTTTTACAATCCAGACACTTTCTGCAACTCTTTATGTATCAGATCAGATCTAAACAGGCTGCCAGAGTTATCATGTTAACGTGTGAGATTAATTAAATATTAAATATGATTAACACTGCGTTTTAAAAAAAATGCTTTTCTTAAAGCCTTCTTACAGCCATTTTTTTAAATAAAAGTTCTACCAAGATGAAATGTCAGTGAGTGAATCACACTGTTAATGAAAAAGCCAACAGTGGACTTCTGCAGACTAGTGGCAAAAATGGTTTATTATTTAGAAACTGAATGCATTACATTTGGAAGGGAAAATATTCAGTATATTACGAAATTTTCAGAATTCGAAATTCACGATCATGTCAACACAGAAAACATGATAAATTGTTTTAATCAACAGGTGTTTTGTTTGTCAATGCAAGTTACAAAGATAATGACAAAGTAGAACAACAAAAGAAATATCTTACCTGGTCCTCTGGTTTGTACTGTTCAAAGCTGAACAGTTTGGCTTTCATTTCCAGCTCTGCTGCTCTCTTTTTCTCCCTCTGAATGTTATCAGTCATGATATCAATCTGCTCTTTTAGCTGCTTTGATTCAGACTCCCTGTAAACACACAAACAAATAGCATTTTTTACTGGAATAAATTTACGAAAATATCTATGTTGGTGCACACAAGTACACACGTTTTTGCGAGTCAGTTCAGCATTCTGTCTGAACTCCTCCAAAGCCTCTTCTGTCTCTCTAGTGTTTTGGATGAGGGAAAGATTCTGCTCTTCCAGCTCAGTCATTAGATTCAACAGATCCTGAGGTTCTTTGAAGAACATCTCTGGGTCAACCTGAGGGGGACATCACAGTGATCAAAAAATGGTTTTTCTCTTTATAGAAGAGATATATTCAATTAATTATAAATGTGCATTGCATTTATTTTATTAACAAATTAATAGACAAATGAATAGAAAAAATAAAAACTAAGCGTAATTACATTGATCTATAGTGTAAGTTCATTTCACACATTTATAGTATAACCCTTAAAAAAGAGAGCGAATTGGGCACTGGAAAAACATATTATATTTATATTACAATTAAATATTACTAAATAGCAACACATACAGCAATATATATGCTGCCTGATCAGCTCTTAATCGAGAAAGCTGCTTTTTGCTGGCAGATGGTGTAGTTATTGCATCTACCAGCAGAGGCTAACAGGACCATGCTATCCAACCAAACCCTGGATCCTACATTTTTCAGGTTAGTAGGTTCAGGCATAAAATATACACGTGTTACACTTTACAACTATAAATCTAAATGTAATCATTGGAAAAATATAAATGAATAATAAACTGACTACTTAATTCAACAGAATGTTAGTGGATATTAACCTCGCAATCTGAGCTGTCAGTCCCAGGTGCAGATCTAAAGTGAAAACAAAGCATTATTAATAATAGGGATGCACCGATACCACTTTTTCCAGCACTCGCCCGATACCGATACTTTTATTTTTGGTACTTGCCGATACCAATATTTTTATTGCATTTGTACATTTTTTAAATATTGGGTACAGAAACCAAAAGGGTATGTATAATGTTAGTTGGTTAACTTCATTTATCAAATAGCCGCGCGCTCAATCCACTCAGCGTGATTTGTTTTATCAGCTCGCACACATCAGCTATACAGGCGTTAATACTGAATGTTTAACATTATATTCATTGCATACATATACTTTGTAGTAGACATCCATAACTCCTTTCTGCTGTCTGTTGTCAGTGCTTCTTTGTTTGAATATGGCGCTTATCACATGCTGAGTGGTATCGGCGGTTGGTATCGGGGCATTTTAACGAGTACGAGTACGAGTACAGGAGGCCAGTATAGGGCCCGATACCGATACCAGTATCGGTATCGGTGCATCCCTAGTAAAGATGCAGAAAGTTTTCTGAGGGGTAGGGGTGGGTTTAGGTTAAAAAGTGTATAACTACCTGTATATAAAAACAATCGAAGTCTATGTAATGTCCCCATTTAGATAGCTAAGTAAACGTGTGTGTATCGGTGCATCCCTAATTAATAAGTCACTGAACATGCAAAGCTATGCATTTAATATTATGGTTTGCATATACATTTTGCTGCTCTGATGGCTGGACTTCACACTTTGTCTAGATGAAGCCCTGGGCCTCCTGAGAAGATAAGAAACCACGAGCCTCGTCTTTCTCCACCTATATGTGTTTGAATACATTTAAAGGAAAAAAAAAAAAAAAACAAGACAATCTGTTAAAAACCCAAAGCAAATATTTGACAGAAAGTAATAATTTACACCTGTGTCTTCTATTCATTTTATATTTTGTACTTTGCTCTTAAACAAATATGTAATTTTAAAAAGCTTCTAAAGTTGCCAACATACGCTTGCTGCCTTCTGCTGTCTTTCTTTCTTTGTTCTTTTTGATTTTTTCTGCCTGTTTTTCATCCCTCTCAGTATATGTGGAGACAGTAGAGTGCCTACTCTTGGATCTCTGTTTCTCCTGCCATTCTGGGGGTGACAGCATCAGCAGAAACTCTTTATACTTTTTATACTCCTTCAGGATGTCCTCATACTTAGAGATGTCACTAAAATCAACGGGTAAGGGGAGAAAACAGATAAACAACCCTGTTGAAACGATTTTGGAAAGTATCTAATCAAACAATTTGTTCATACCTGCTGATTGCCACCATTTTGGAAGTTATCTTCTTGATCTCAGCTACTTTCTCCAGCTTCACCTTGGTCTCTTGCTCAGCACTGAACAGTATTTGATGGTTTTATTAAGATAAATGTAAGCCACATATTCTGCTGTTTCCATGTAAAAACACCATAATTTGCTATATATATATGTTAAATTTTAAAAATCTTTTAAACATTAATTCAAGCATTGTACTTTAAGGTAGCAGCACAATTGTAATGACAGTACTTTTATTTTTTTATAATGTTTTCTAAGTGAAGTTTGTACAACTGGTACATTTTGATAGCCTCCACCGAATTCTTGTCATGTTCTTTTAGGAATTCTTCAAACAAGATGGCGTTATTTTCCAAGAACTTCTCAGCTCTTGTCAATTTCGCCTCTTCTTCTGCAGCCATTTGCTCCAGTAGCTGAATCTCTCCTTTCTTTACTGCCAGAGAATACTAAAAATTTGAGAGAGATTGTGTACAAAAACAATCATACACAGAAGAATAGAGGGCAAAATTAGTAAAGACAAATCAGTCAAATCCACAATGGATACAAAGAAGAAATTCAGCAAATTTTCCACCTGGCTACTAGCTGAGAACTAGAGAAACAAAATAGCATCTTACCTCAAGTAAGAAGAGCTCACGTTTCTTAGTGATATATTCATTCATGCCGCCCTTATCAATATTAGGGTCTAAGAAAATCAGAATAACAATAGTACTGTAAATGTAAATTTACTTGCTGTGGGTTTACATGTGGGTCATTCTGTGTCAACTCAACCACACGTTTTACACAGACATTGTTACATCCATCCATCCATCCATCATTCCATGGGCTCACGCCCGTTGGTGTCCAATGCCCGTCTGACGCTCCATTTCCACTGTGCACGGTCCTGTGCCATCCTGCTAAGAGAGTGGATGTCCCTCTGACACCATTCTTTGATGTCATCCAACCACTCCCTACTCGGTCTTCCTCTCCGTGTCCGTCGATCCATGATCCCAAACACCACACACTTCACCAGTCACTTGTCCTCCATCCTGCAGATAAGTCCAAACAGGCTGAGCTTCCTCTCCATGATGAGTTGTACGATGTTCCTCGTGTTTCCAACTCGTCTTTGCACCTCCACGTTTGTGATTTTCTGATGCCAGTGAATGTGCAAGATTCTCCTGTAGCACTTCATTTCAAACGCCCGCAGTAAATCTTTGTCTTTCTTCCTCAATGTCCATGTCTCACAAGCATACAGCAACACACTCATCACACATGTCCTGATTATGCTGATTTTGGTCTCTGTTCTGATATGCTTGCTGTTCCATATTGTCTTGAACCCTGCCATTACTCCCGTTGCCCTCGCTATTCTCCTTTTGATCTCCTTGCTGCAATCGTTGTCCCAGGTCAGTAGACTACCCAGGTACACAAACTCTGTGACATTTTCAATACTTCTGCCCCTAATCTCCAGTTCCTCTTCTATGTCCTCTTGTCCAAACACCATTGTCATTGTTTTTTCAATGTTGATCTGTAATCCGGCGGCCTCCCCTGCTTCATTGATCCGATCCAGATTTCCTTGTAATTCAACTCTATCCTCCTCCAGTAGATCAATGTCATCTGCAAATTTGAGGTTGTTGATCTTGATCTTGTGTCATTGTCTCTTACCGAGTTCATTACTCTCTCGAGGTACGAGATGAATATAGTTGGCGATATCGGATCCCCTTGTCTTGTTCCGACCATTGTTTTAAACCAATCGCCCATTTCTCTGCCAACTCGCACTGCCGACTGCGAGATTTCACAGATGTTCTGCAGTATCTTGGTCAATCTTGCTCCGACTCCATATGACTTGAGTGTTGCCCAAGTGACGTCCTGTTTGATGGAGTCGAATGCCTTTCGGAAATCAATGAAACAGTTGATGATGTGTCGTCCTTTACGTTTCGCCTTCTCTGCCATAAGCCTTAGAATCAGGATTTGATGTGTCGTGCATCTGTCTTTCCTGAATCCGGCCTGCTCCTCTGACAGATGTGGTTCCATCTGCGCTTTCAATCTCTCCAGTAACACCATCATCAATACCTTACCCATGTGACTTAACAGAGCAATTGTCCTGTAGTTGCTGCATTCTGCCAAGTCTCCTTTCTTTGGTATTGTGACAATGACTGACTTTGCACATTCCTCTGGTACTCTCCCTTCCTGCCATATCTGATTACAGATTGTGTGTATCTCTTCTGTAATTTTTCTCCTCCAGCTTGTATCATTTCTCCGGTTATGTCGTCGATTCCTGGGCTCTTACCTTTCTTTAACCTTTTCACCGCTTCTGCCACTTCCTCATATAGAATGTAGTGCATTTCATCTTCATTGGGCGGTGGTGAGATTTGGTCTAGTTCAGTTATGACGGTGTCACTGTTAGCCCTATCAGTGTACAGACCTCTGCAATATTCTGTCCACCTTTTCTTAACTTCTGCTTTATCTTGTAACATCTTACCATTCTTGTCCTCGATGGCTGACTGCTTCGGTTTCCACGCTCGGTTTATCTGGTTGATGAGCTTATATGCCTCTCTGCTTCGGTTGTCTCCTGCAAGCCTCTCAATTTCCTGGCATTGTCTTTGTAGCCACTCCTCCTTGTCTGTCTTTGCTGCTTTCCTCACCACATTGCACACCACTCTATACTCCTTCTCCCTCTCCTCCGATTCTTGTCTTCTCTCTTTCATCTCTCTTTTCGTCTTTGCCAGTTGTAGTGTGTGTTCCGTTATCCACGGTTTGTTTTGCTTACACACTGTTGGTAAGACTTCCCTCACAGATGATTGTATCGCTTCATTCAACTGTCGAACTCTGTCATTTAGTTCCACTGGCTGCGATGGTGAGTTTGCAAGTCTTTGCTCCACTTTGTCCTTAAACGCTGCCCGCACCGTTGCATTACCAAGTGCATCGATGTTCCTTCTTGGTTCATGTCGTTGTTGTCTCGTTGTCCTTTTCAGTCTTAGCTTCAGTTTGCACATCACCAAACTGTGGTCTGAGGAGATGTCTGCTCCTTGGAACGTTCTGCAAACACACACTGCAGTTTTCCATCTCCTGTCTACCAGCACCAAGTCGATCATGTTGGTGTACTTGCCATCGGGTGCCATCCACGTCCACTTCCTGCTGTCCTTCTGCTGGAATCTGGTGTTGGTGATCAGCAGATCATTCTTAGACGCAAATTCCAGTAGCCGTTCCCCTCTATTATTGCGCTGTCCATAGCTGTGACACCCCATCACCTGCTCCCAGCCCAAGTTATCTGTTCCAACCTTTGCATTCCAGTCGCCGATCACAATTTTCACATCTTTCTTTGGCAACTCCTCGATGGTGTGCTCCAGCTGCCCGTAGAACGTTTCGACCTCTTCCTCGGTACTGTCTGAAGTTGGTGCATAAACCTGAATCACTGCAATGTTCAGAGGTGCTCCGTTGAACCTGGCCACTATGTTACGAGAGTTTACAGGGTACCTGAGTAGCGCATCTTTCGCTCACTTGCTAAGCAAGCTTGCTAAGCTGATAAATACATTAATTAATTAATTTTGTTATCTACTCCAATGTAAATCATGCCATTTTAAGTGTGGTTTAAGTGTACAAACTCTTGGGGCCACTGTATTGTAGGCTATATAATGTCAAGTTTTTGCAGTATCTCTTTGAGGGAGAAAAAAGTAGCTGCAATGTAATGTATGGACAAACGAAAGCAGCTAGAGGTGCTCCGTTTAACCTGGTCACTATGTTACGAGAGTTTACAGGGTTATACCCGAGTAGTGCATCTTTCGCTCGCTTGCTAAGCAAGAAACCAACTCCCCTCATGTGATTTTTCTCTTCTCCTGACCAAATCACTTCTCCTCCATTCAGCTCTCCCACACCTGTCCAGCGCATCTCTGCCAGTCCCAATATATCGCACTCATATGGTGTCATTTCCTTGCGTAATAGCTCCAGTTTGCCAGGACTTCTGAGAGTCCGTACATTCCATGTACCTATCTTCAGGAAGTCTATTGCTGCTTTGAGTTTCTTTTCTCCTTCTCCTTTTCCTTCTACTCCAGTAGCTAACTTTTCAACCCAGCCCCGTTTTCCCAGCTGAGGACGTGGACCTTGTATAACCGGGCGACGTCCGAGCTGGTGTGTTCCTGTTTGTTTGGTTGTCATTGTGCATTGGATTTCATTCGTCTTGTTTCTTTTACAGGTGGCAGTATCTGCACCCCACCACCCAACCCTCCTCCTTTATCCGGGCTTGGGACCGGCACAGTCAACTGCGGCGGAGTTACACATTGTTACAACTATAAGTAAAATCTGTTGACTTTAGCGATCTTTGTCAATTAGCAATCTTTGTTGCATTATATGTCAATGGTGAGTTCAAATATGGGAAAAAGCATTTTCTTTCCTTAAGTTTACATGCCTGTAACTCAGGAAGTATTAAACATATCTCAGTATCATTTTAGTTTTTAAAGGGGTCATATGATGTTGCTAAAAATAACATTATTTTGTGTATTTGCCGCAACATCACAGTTGTCTGAACCAACGAGCATTAATCTGTGTCGTCAATCAGTCGTTTCCCATCATGCTTTTGATCAGCGCAGTCGGTGGAGAGAAGGAAATGTTACGCCCCTTATATGGGATCAGAATCCCGCCTATTGCCGTCACGGATAAAAAAATAAAAAAAAAATTTGTTTAATTAATCAAAAGATTAATAACGCATTTAAAAAAATAATAAGCATGAATCAAAACTTTAAACACGTTTAAAATCATATTGCACAAAATTGAAATATTAATGCAAAATTGTCTGACTTGCGCACAAAATCATGTTTTCCTTGGTTATATTTCTCTGTTTTTCTGCTCTTAGACATTTTCTGCTCATATTTTTATTTTTTGTATGCTTATGCTGTTTTTCCCTTCTCTCTTGTTTCCAAGTTCTGCGCTACTTCTTCCAAATGTTGCTGTTAAGAGTTTCATGTAAATCAGGGTGGGCTTAAGCGTCATCATTGGTCCACTAGTAGCAGTATTTTGCTTATTTTTGCAAATTACAGCTTTGCAGCTTTTACTTTCATGTACAGTATGTCATTGATAAGGTTGATGGTCTTGTAAGATTTATCACATTTTGTGTTACTCTGAAATTATAAAATGACATAAAGGATCCGTTAACGTCAAATGAGCCGTCCTAGTGACCCGTCGTGGTTATATTCACCTGTATTTATTCGCCTATGGCCACGTCGCGAAAGGGAGGAGCCACAATACCAGCCTCGCGAAGTCATTAGGCTTGTTTGAGATGCACCTTGCCTTGCCTGAAATTAAGGCGAGAGTAGGCGGCTGCAGTGAGGGGTGGAGTGAAATAAGCGCAGGCAAGACGAACAGTTCTGACCTCTAGAAGTGGAGCAGATACCAACGAGATCAAAGGCTGATATCGCGTTATTCTCACTTACATGCTGTGTTGCTTTGAGTGAGTTTAAAATTTTACTTATTTTCTCATTTTGCTTGATGAAGAGTCAAAACAAAGCCACAGCAGAACAGCGTCCTACAAGCAACACACAGCAGCCTTATATTGAATGATTACTCTATATACTTAAATATATAAATAATATATATAATTATATATATAAATAATATTTTATATATTTAAAACATTATGATAGTGTTATGCAATTATATTTGTAGCTTGTTGCATAGTTTATGTAAATAAACACAATATGCAAATAAATCATTGTGTATATCAAATCCAACTGGCCTCTGTAACTGTCTCCTCTGTAACACTATCGCTTTCATTGATCAGTAGTCAGATCTAGCCTAGTCAATGCAAAAACATTACATTCATTTATTCATAATTAATTTACTCATTTAACATTAACGGATCGCCAGGCAGGCGTACAGCAGTGACAGTCATCTGATTGCCTAGAGGAGGAGCTGTCAATCTAAAACTAGTGGACCAATGATGACGCTTAAGCCCACCCTGATTTACATGAAACTCTAACCGCAACATTTGGAAGAAGAAGCGCAGAATGTGGAAACAAGAGGGAAGGGAAAAACAGCACAAGCATACAAAAAAAAATATGAGCAGAAAATGTCTGAGAGCAGAAAAAACAGAAATATAACCAAGGGAAACATGATTTTGTGTGCAAGTCAGACAATTTTGCATTAATATTTCAATTTAGTGCAATATGATTTTAAACGTGTATAAAGTTCTGATTCATGCTTATTTTTTTTTAATGCGTTATTAATTTTTTGAATTACGCTTATTATTTTTCAATCCATGACCATTGTTTGCTATTCTGAAAACTTTGCTTTCATTTTTAAATCTTGTGCAATATATTTTTACTTGTGTTTTAAAAATTTGTTTTCACGCTTGTTATTTTTTTATCCTTGACTGCAATACTTTAGGCGGGATTCTGATCCCATACCCTTACCATACTGTGATGCCCTGTCCCAGCGCGATGAGACAACACCAATAAAACCCATTACAAACGAGGAATTTGTTGCAGGCTAGAGTGAGCGGCGGCTGGCGGGCTTGAGAACGGCACGGCCGGCAGATTCAACGAAGGAGCGTCCGGAAGGCTTGCGGCAACCACATGTGACGACCCCGGGCTGGACTCCGCTT